GTTTTTAGAAATTTATATGCTCAATTCATTGATCTATTCTTTTTGTTTTTTGTTAATGTGTTAGAAAACATATATTTTCCCTAAGGACTGCTTTAGCTTTATCCCAAAATATTTAGTATACTTTCTCATTGTTGCTATTTTTTGTCATTGATGAAATTGTTTCTAAGATTTCTTTTCTTTGACCCATTAATTCTTTAGAATTAAATAATTTTGTTGTTGTTGTTGTTCAGTCATGTTTAACTCTTTGTGACCCCATGGACCATACTTTCCAAGGAGTTTTCTTGGCAAAGATACTAGAAGGGTTTGCCATTTCCTTCTCCAGTGGATTAAGGCAAACAAAGGTTAAATGATTTGCCCAAGGTCACACAGCTATTAAATGTTTGAGGTCAGATTTGAACTCTGGGCTTTCTGACTCCAGGTCTAGTGTTTCATCCACTGAGACATCTAGCTTCACGCCCCACCCCCTTTAGTAAGAATTTATAGTACCTATTTAAATAAATAGTAATTTAATTTCCATTTAATTAATACATTTCTCAATTGCCCTTGATTAGCTATACTTTTTACTGCAATATAGTTATTATAATTATGTATCTAATTGTTCTGCTTTCCTGAATTTTTTATGACATTTTAATACCTTTGGCCTATGGACAATTTTTATAAAAATGCCATGTTCAGCTGAAAAGTATGAAAATTATTTTCTATTCCCATTAAGTAACTGCCAGAGAATCAGCACGTGTCGCTGTTCTAAAATACTGCTCAGGTCCTTAACTCCTTTCTTGTTTGTCTTTTTTGTTTGATTTATCTAAGTCTGAAATGGTATATTGAGGTTCCTAACCATTGTATTTTACCATCCATTCCTCCCTGTAATTTTATTAGCTTTTTATTTAAATACTTAGATTCTATTTTTATTCATTGGATTCATGTGCATTTCAGTGAATGTTGTATTAAAGGTGAGTAAGAGAGAGAAGGCCGGAAGATCAAAGGAGAAGGCCATTCCACCGTTGCCCATTTCTATTCACCATGTCCTTACCCTACCTCTATTCTCCCACTTAAACTTCCCTTTCCTCTATTTCCTGTCTATCTGTTTTCCAATTCTGTGTGTGTGTGTGTGTGTGTGTGTGTGTGTGTGTGTGTGTGCCTACACACATGGATGTGCATATGTTCAACCTTCCATTGGTTCAGATAAGAGTCAAAGTCATGAGATACCCATGCCCTCTAACACATCCTTCATGTTCATATGTTCTTCTTTTTAGCACCTCACTTATAAGAAATAGTAAGTTCCTACTACTTCTTCCTCATAACTCACCTAGGGTATTCCATTTTCCTTCCTTTTCTTTCTTCTCTAAACACCATTAAAACAAAACAAACTATCTTTAAGCCCTGAATTTATTTAGAGAACTCTCTTAACTCCCTCTGTGACCCTTATAATCAGTAGGGTTCTGAAAAGACATTTGTCTCTCTCTCCCCATTAGAATGCAAGTGGTTCATCAATATTTATTATATTCCAGTTGCTAAAATATATTTACCATTCCACATTTCTCTTTTCAGAACTTGTTTAGCTCTAGTCTTTTCATCAGGAATAATTGAAAGTCTTCTATTCTATTGGAGGTCCACTTTTTCCCTTGTAATATTATGCTCAGTCTTATAATTATTCTTGGTTATAAACTTTTTCTTTGCCTTTTAGAATAGTGTGTTCTAAGATTTGATTTGATTACTCTTCTCCAGAGTAGTAAAGTCAACAAACATTTATTAAGCACTTACTATGTGCCAGGCACTGTGCTAAGTATTGAGAATACAAATAGAAGCAGAAAGAAAGATGGCCCCTGCCCTCAAAGAACTTAAATTCTGATGGAGGAAGGCAACAAATAAAAGAAAGCTGAAAAGGGTAGGGGTGGGAGCAAAAGATATCATTAAGAGGACATGGTAGAAAAAGTCTGGATTTTCAGGACTGAAGCCCAGAGAGGAATAAAGACATAATAGACTTGGACATTTTCTTTAAAACGGAGGTTATGGGAAAAAATGACCAACTAGAAGAGGGGCCCACAAGGGCAGAATGAACATCCAGGACAAGAAATCTACTATAACATGGCAGCGAAAGTATAGAGAATCAGTTGGAGAGTCAGATGAGTAGTTACAGCATAGGCTTGGGCACTCTTGATGATAATTCTTTGGTACCTCAAACATTTTCTTCTATCTACTTATAAGATTTTTTTTTTGGATTTGGATTGCTTATGACGTTACTGAGTATTTTCAATTTGGGTTTTCTTTCATGAGGTGATTAGTGGATTCTTTCTATTTTTACTTGCCCTATTGTTCTGATAGATTTGAGCAGTATTTTTTTTTATCATTTCTTGAAATATGGAATCTAAGTTCTTTATTTGGTCATGACTTTCAAAGAGTTAATTGATTCTTAAATTATCTCTACTTGATCTTTTTCAAAGTCAGTTGTTTTTGAGAGTAGACAACTCAAGTATTCTGCTATTTTTCAGTATTTTGACTTTATTCTAATATTTGTTGTTGTCTCCCAGAATCATTGAGATACATTTATTTTATTCTGGTTTTTTTAGGAAGTCTACTACCTGTGTGAGACTTTCCATTTTCAGTTTTAAGCTATTTATTCTTCTGAATTTTTCTACATTGCTCTTCTTTAATTTTTTAAATCACTTTCTTCAGCTCTTCAAAGATACTCTTCGAGTCTTTGAGGCCAAGCCATTTTTCCCTCTGAGGCTGTGCTTGTAGTGTTGGTAAGGTACTTTCTTCTTATGGGTTTAACTCTTTGTTGTCTTTTAACATGTAGTATTTCTTCATTGTGTTGGGTATTTTCTTCCATTTACACATAACTCCAGCCTATTTCTGTTTTGGGACTTTATGCTCCCAAAGGGCCAGGCTCTGCTCTCTTGCACACTTTTGTAAGGAGTAAGCAAGCCATATTTGGTCACATCCCCAATTTCCCATGCCTCTGTGAAGGTTTCCACATCTTCTTGCATCTGAACGGCAGCCTTCAGGCCCCACTAAAAATCCTTGGTCAAAGTTAAAGGCTTGAGGCAACACTACCCACACCTTGGAACTTTACTGGTTAAAGTGCCGAAGGCCTTCAACCCACTTGAACATCCTAGGTTAGAGAACAGGCCAGTCCCATACTTGTTTACCTGAGTGTATCCTGGCTTCCTGTGTATAAGATATTACTAGAGACCTACCTAGAATTGGGATTATGTACAAATCTTTCAAAAGTACTCCAAAAATTCTCCTGACATGTATACTAAAGCACTATTGGTGGAATTGTGAACTGATCCAACCATTCTGGAGAGCAATTTGGAACTATGCCCAAAGGGCTATAAATCTGTACATACTCTTTGATCCAGCAATACCACTGCTAGATCTATAACCCAAAGACATCCCCCCAAAATGTAAAAGGACCTATTTGTACAAAAATATTTATAGCAGCTCTTTTTATGGTGGCTAAGAATTGGAAATCAAAGGGATTCCCATTGGTTGGGGAATGGCTAAACTAGATGTGGTATGTGATTGTAAGCAAATATTATTGTGCTATAAGAAATGACAAGCAAGATGATTTTAGAAAAACATGGAAAGACTTACATGAACTGATGCATAGCAAAGTAAACAAAACCATGAGAACATTGTATTCAGTAACAGCAATATTTTTCAATGAAGAATGTGAATGACTAAGCTATTCTGAGCAATACAATGATCCAAGACAATCCCAAAGGGTTAATGATGAAGCATACTATCCACTTCCAGAGAAAGAACTGATATGGATTGAATACAGACTGAAGTATGCTGTTTTCGCTTTTTCTTTCATTTTTTTTTCTTTTATTCAAGTCTTCTTGTACAAAATGACTAACATGGAAGTGGTTTACGTAATTGCACATATGTAACCTATACCTGATTGCTTACCATCTCAGAGAGGGAGGAAGAGATAGAATTTGGAACTCAAAACTTTAAATAACAATGTTTAAAATTTTTTTTTAAGTACTCCAGTTGATTTTGGGGAATAGCAGATATTTGATGGGTTAGAGGAAAATGGAGGAATTGACCAGGGACCCTTGATCCACTGAATGTCTCATTTAACAGAGATAATAAAATGTTAAGATTTGACCCCTTTCAGACTTTGAATTCAAGCGTTCACAATTTGTAAAATGTACGAAACTTTGCCTGAGTGAACTATTCTAAGATTGTACAGGGCACAAAACCAGGAATGGAGCATCCATAGCTTGTAAAGGAAGTACAAAGAAATGACCTTGTATTTATTTTATTTTGTAAATCCTTATATAAGGATATCTTCCCAGTAGAATGATAGAATATACGCTCTTTAAGAGTAGAACTGCTTTATTTTTGTCTTTGGTTCTTAAGTGCCAATGTGTCCCTTGACATGAATAGGTTCTTAATGAATGCTTGTTGATTGATTGGAAGGGATCTCAGAGATCATTTTGTCCAATTCCTTCACATAACAGATGAAGAAACTGAGGCTCAAAGCCAAGACATTATTTACCCAATTTCACAAAAGCTTTTAGTGGCAGACCCAGGACTTCAGCCCAAGCTTCCTTACCTTGGTCCAGGGTTCTTCCCCCTATACCATACTCTTCCTCCAGCTCCAACATACAACCCAAATTTGTATGTCAATGGTGTCCTCCTAGAGACATAAAACTCCTTAACGATAACGCAGTGGTGATTATTCCAGGTACCATGCCAGGCCTTGAGGGGAAAGAATGCTGGGTAGGTCATTCCCTTGGCAACTCTCCAAACTCACCTCATAATCTGCAATCTCTTCTCACATGTGGGTTGGTCCCAACTATCAAGGAGCTCTGTAAACACGGTGCATTTGTGCATATACTTGTCAAAACCAAAGTCATATATTAAGTATAAACAAGTACAAGACTGTTTGCATCACCATTTTTCAAAAAGTGTTTATTGCTTTTCAGCATTATTTACTGCAAAATAATGCCCATGTTTAAACAGTATATTTTATTCTTTTCCCCCAGACAGGAAAACTCCAGTTTCCTGCTTTAATGTGCTAAGGGTGAGTAAGCATATAGTTTTCCAGTGTTTCCACGCTCTCACATTCAACACTACTGTTGTAAATCACTGACATAGTTTTAATTTGGATAATCCCTTTCTAAAAGGAATTCTGCTGATGGAATAATTGGAAAAGGCCTCAGTGGTGAAGGTGATGGACTAGTTATTAGGGTTAATGTGTTTGGCTCTTAGTTTTCTAAAATATCAGCTCTATATTAGACAGAAACTCTCAGGAAGCCTCATTTAAGCCGTGCCCGGTCTAAGGAGGTATGAAGTAGAGCTGGTTTCCGTCATCCAGAGCTGGCTGAGGGTGGAGACAGCACTGTTTGTTAAACTGGTTAAGGTGGCTCAGTTTAAATTTCATGTGATTCTGAATGGAGGAGTAGAAAGTATGATGTGAAGTTACATCCAGCTGAAAGTAAAGTATTCCGGTTTGGTGGAGCTAGTGGTAGCCGAGCCCCCAGCTCGTTTTTTTTAATGTAAGTATCAAACAAAGTTATATTCTTTGACAAAAATTCTTACTGGAAAATAAAGGGGGGGGAGCTATAATTTCAAAATCTATTAGGAAAACATCTCAAGTCAGGCCTTTCATATATGTTTTTTTGAAATGCACATCCAATCAGAGGTGGGTTTTTTTCATATTCATCTAGTTAATTGCTTTGAAGTATTTTACATGTGTTGGTTTTTAACTCAAATGCTTAGTTTTATTTGGTTTAATACGCACCTTCATGGCAGGGACTGTTTCATTTTGTCTTTGTATCTACATGGTCGACATTTAATAAATGCTTATTAAATTAAATTTTAAATGTATAAGAAAATGACTCATTTAGAGAGGTATGATATTTGGTACACTGTCTTTTTTGCAACTAGGAAATACTTTCCAAATGGATATTTTATATTTGTGTAGCACTTTAAGATTTGCAATACATTTCTCCCAACTCCTGAGGTAGATAGTACAAGTATTATTATCTCCATTTTACAGATGAAGAAACTGAGGCTCTGAGAGGTAAGGGGCTTTTCTATGATCACACAACTAAGCAAATGTCTGAAGGAGGAGTTTAACTTAGGTTTCCTGACTCTAAGTGCCTATCCCATACTGCCAGGTTTTTGATGAAATTTTACTTACAGTAAATTCAAGTAATTATTCCTTATAAGTGATAAATTTCAAGGGAAGGGGAAATAAAAAGAAACAGATGATTATGTGATTAGAAGATTGTTTAAAAAAATCATGCTTACCATAAGAACTAGTTTTTCAAAATGAATCTTGAGGTCATCTTGTCCAAAATCCTCATTTTACAGGTGAGGAAACTGAAGTCCATGGAGGTGAAGAGAAATGCCCAGGGTGACACACCCAGCTAGTTACAGAACTAAGAATAGAACCTGTGTTTCCCGAGTTCAAATCTAGCGCTTTCCACTATTCCATAGTTATTCTTTGGTGTCAACTCCAGGCCATTTTGATTAAATATGTGACAGCCTATTATGATGAACTGAAATGACTTTCTAGTAAGTGGATATTTTTAAATGGCCAAAAATCAGTTGAATACTGTTGGGAGATAAATTTGATAAATTTAATATCTGAGAAAGAACAGGGGCCTGAGAGCCAGGAGAGTAGGAATCAAGTCTCAATCCTGCACCTGAGTAGCTGGGGAAAAGTGCCTTCATTTGTCTCATCAATATAGTAACTGAAAGGGTGGCACTAAATGATCTGGGTTTCCTTCCAGCACTAAAAGTCTGTCATTCTCTGAAGTATTCTATGGCTTAGCATTTCAATTTTTAAAATGAAAATAGTGTCACTCCTACACTATATAGTATGCTTACAAAGATAGAGGTAGTGTGATACTGGGGAAAGAGCAGTATCCTTTGGAAACGAATGAGGTGGATTAAAATCCTATTTCTAATGCTTATTGTGTGTGTGACTTTGAGAAGGGACTTAACCTCACCCGGACTCTGTTTGTTCATTTGTAAAATGAGGAAGTTGGACTACATGGTTCATTCCAGCTCTACCTCTGTGATGGCCTTTATATTCCTTATAATTGATATGTTCCTAGGGGGAGGAAAAATAAATGGATGTTTTTTACAATTAGAAGATTGTAAGACAATGTAAATACTGAAAAGGGAAGCTGGGTTTTGAGTCAATTTGCAATCCAGCTAAATTCATAACAGTCTTGCAAAAAAAAAAGTACTAAACATCTATGGTATCCTTTGTAACTACATAAGTGCAAAGTACCATCATTATTATGGTAATTAATAATAACACTATTCTATATATTTCCACACACACATTAATATGCATTTTTAGTTCAGTTGGCAGGAGAGCCCTGTACAAGGAGGTAGCCTAATTCAGGCTATGGAGTCAAAAAACTTTCGTTCAAATCCTTCTTCTGACACTTAGTACCTTTGTGAGCTCAGGCAGGCAGGGTCCCTTCACCTCCCTGAGTCATGATTTCCTCATTGGTAAAAGGAGGGGTGTGTGCTCTAATTGGGCTTTAATGCCACCCCATTTTCTTAAAACAGGAGAACTACACTGACTTCTTCAAAGCCTCGTGCCAGAGTAATACAGATAGATAGATATAGATATATATGTATACACACATATCCATCTATCATCTATTTATATATCTATATCTTTATATTGATTACTGATAAAACATTGTTTAAAGATTTTTATGTGCTATTGTTAACCCTTGCCCTTGAGTTATATTGTCACCAATTGTGGGAAGGCAGCTTTAGGCATCCCACTTCCAAAGTGAACAGTTATGGAGGAGCATGTAGCAGCAGGCTGGGCAGCGACAGGGGCCAGCAGTCTGGGCAGGGGCAGCAGCCTGGGTAACAGCGACAGCAGCCACCTCTGCTCTCTTGGGAGGACCATGTCTCCGTTTATGTAGTCACCTGTAGTTCGAGAACATGGTAACAAAACTGGCTTTTCGGCTGCATCCGCCAACTCTGGGGTGGTAAAAAAATAATAATAAAAAAATAAAACAAGCGACTGCCAACCCGTATTGGGAAAGAACTCTTGGGTGGCACTTCACTCTCAAGAGAAAGGTTTTCTGAAGCGATTTTCCATGATGAGTCTGTTGAGATACTAGAGCAGAGGAGCTTGCCCAAAGTAGGGGGTCCTATTTTCTTGGGTTTCACAAAGGTTTCTACTCTTTTTCATCTCTTCCAGATTGCTTGTCTTTTCCTAATTAAGGAGAGCCTGCTGAGAGAGTTTCCGACAATCACAATGGGGAACGAGAACAGCACCTCTGACAACCAGGTGGGTGTTAGGAAACTACCTCCCCCGCCCCTTCCACCCTCGTGCTTATCCTCTATTGAAGCTTACTTTTTTCTGCCTGGAAACATTGTTGTCAACATCATCATCATCATCATCATCATCATCATCATCATCATCATCATCATCATCATCATCATCATGCCAGCAGCTCATTAGCAGGGTTGAAGGAGCAAAAGGTGGCATGATCTTTATGTTTAAATTGGCACCTGCCACCACTTCTATCTTTTCCAAGATTCTATTTAATTAACTGTGTAGCCTCTTTTTATGGACAATGGGAGCGTTTTCATTCTCTTACATCTATGCCACCCTCTCCTTTGTGAAATAGATTTCATAAATTTCTTTCTGGATTCTTTAATTAATAGTCACATAGTTCTAGTAGTTAGGTGGTTAAAATAGAAGCTTCCCTCTCTGCCTCAGAAAAGTTTTGGCTGTTGGAAGGTTTAAAAAAAAAAGGAAACAAATCTATATTACTCAGAGCTGTTAAGGAATGTGAAACAGATTGTCTTCATGATGAAGTTTCAATAGCTTTTCTAAGCCAAAAATGTCCTAAAATTGAAGATTGGATTTCAGTTGCTTAATTGTGCACACACACATGTAGTATTTCCCATCCATTGTGGTTTCATAGTAGAAAAAAATTAAATTCTGGTAATCAAATGTCTTGGCACAATCTCATTTAGCTAATTAATACAGCAAAAGCATGATGCAGATTTAGAATGTAATGGTATTGAGTTCTTCAGATGAGAAAATTAGATCTAGGAAGCTGACATTCTCCATCTGGCTTTCTGCTGCGGTTGTCTCCTTCTGATGCAAGTTTTCTTAAGAGGAATCTTGCTCTGGTAACTTCAGTCCAGCCTTGGAGACATACATGCTTTGACTACTTGAGGCATAGTTTGGGAAACAGCGAGCTGCTGTGGAGTAAAGATCTCAAACACAAAAGGCAAAGTGTGCATGGGGGCTGGTCAGAGCTATGCAATCAGGCCCTTTGGACAGGTACTACAAGTATGTTGTACAGGCAGCTTAAAAGGTGCTCTCGAATAAACTTTTTAAAGGCAAATTCTTTTGATCAAGCTGGATTAAGGAGACATCTCAAGGAGAGATGCTGGACCTCAGCACACGAGACAGAGATCCTGAGGTAGCATAAGGATGAATGGGCGGGTCACAGGAAAGAAGTGTTCACTCGGGGTCCAAGCCCTTGGGGCATAGAGAAGGGGAGGAAGGAGCCCATCTGATAGCTTCCCATTTTAATTCAATTAAGTCCAACAGACATTTATTAAGTGCCTACTATGTACAAACACTCTAAAGCTACATAGACAGAAAATAACATTGTCCCTATCTTCAAGGAGTCAGTCGGTCAGTCAACAAATAAGCACCTAATATGTGCAAGCATTGAACTAAGCTGGGGATACAAAGAAAGGTAAAAGACAGTCCTGTCTCTCAAGGAGTTCACAGTCTGATGAGGAGAGAGACCGCAAATTGTTATTCAGGTTATATAAAGAAAATGAAAAGGGGAGAGAGCCCAAATAGCTATGGGGAGATCAGGGATGTTTTCATAGAGGAGTTAGCATCTGAGTTGGATTTTGAAGGAAGACCCATAGTAGGCACTTTGTAAATGTGGAATTGAATTAAATGACCGGAATAAATCACTTCCCTTGATACTAGGTGCTAAGCTTCATTATTTCTACCTGCTGAAGGAGCAAAACTGCTGGCAATACTCTGTAAATGTCAGCACCTAGTGACAAAACCCCAGTATACCACCCTAGTTATGGGGCTAGTATTTTATGCAGCTCTTTCTCCTTTCTTCAGATGGATTAAGGAGTCTTTGTGAAGAGACACAAAGATTTAGATAATAGTAGCACAAAGAGATGAGAACTATAAACTTTTTAAAAATGAAATTTGAGTTTTTGAGACTATTGACCTAAAAAACTTTCTCCGTCTCTCTGATTTTTGTTGAATTCTTACGCCTAAGGCAAATATTCTCCAATAGATCTACATTTTAAATGCATCTATTATTTTTCTCCTGTCACATTTGCCAGATGGCAGTTCCTTTTCTTCTCTGCCTCCTGGTTTCCTTCAAGTCTTTTCTCAAATTCCACTTTTTCAGACCTGTCTCTAGGATCTGATGAATCTAGTTCAGGGGTGGGGAATCTTCGATCTCTAGGCTGCATGTGGCCCTCTAGGACCTCAAGTGTGGCCCTTTGACTGAATCCAAGTTCACAGAACAAATCCCATTAATAAAAGTTTGGATTCAGTCAAAAGGCCCAATTTGAGGACCTAGAGGGCTGCCTGTGGCCTTGAGGCTGCAAGTTCCCCACCCCTGATCTAGGTGATTTCATGGGGCCTATAACATGGGGAAAGGAGGAAAGCAAGAGGATCCTGTGTGGTTTCAATAACTGCGGTGTTCAAAGAGGCATCATGGTATTTTCTTTCTCCTTTTAATACCATCTTGGCAATCATTTAAACTTAAATTTACCTGGATAAAACTTGGAGGGATGGCTCACAAGATACAATTTATTCTGGCTTCTGTAATCTATAAGGAATACTTTGAACCCCCTGTCTCTAGCATTGCTGCTGCCAACAGGTGACGTAGCTCATGTGCTACTTACTATAACCATTTCACTATATTTTCTTTCAGTCAGAGGATGCTGGCTCAAATAACATCATCCTGCTGCCACCAAACCCGGGTGTACCACAGGTACTGGAAAATACAATTGATATGCATGGCTTGCATTTCAACCATTTGAAAGCATCTGTGGACACTTTCCAATTTTGTATTTGGCGTATCTGCTTTGGAGCTTTTTTTTGTCTCCCCCCCTCCTCACCCCAGCAAGTTGTGAAACATTATCTAAATTTGCTTTTAAAAAAAAAATATGTAGTTAGGTTTTTTAATAGGATTTTTCTGTACATATTCAAGAGTGTACTGATTAATATGCTGTAGGGAGCTGGAGAAATTCTATATTCTCAATGATAAAAGAGATACTGGGTGTTACATCTCTTTTATCAAGTAGCTCTTTGCTAGATCTCCCGAGTTAAGTTTTGGGTCTTGGTTTGTGGCAACGCCATTACTCTCAGTAGGGCAAACTAAATTGATGTAAAAAGACTGGCATTTCAAATCAGTGGCAATATCCTTATGCAGTTATAAAGGACAGAAGTCATACTACTTTACTTTCATTTAGGGGACCTTGAGGATCAAAAATGATGAACCTTCCATCAATTTTATCATTTTTATGGATTGTTATTTTTGTGCACTGATTGTGGGTTACCGTGGTTGAATAAATTAATTACATGGTAAATTAGCCCTTCAATAACCTATGGAGTCTCTCATTGACCTTTCCACACTACCTTGATAAAGTGATCAAAATAGAAGTGACTCCATGATTTAAGAAATAAAAAGGAGCCACCCTAATTCAAACTTCAGGAAGCTCAGCCATTCTGCCTGATGCTGCTTTTTGTGCCCACCCCTGCCACCGTCATAAAGTAAGTAGTCTTTGATTTTGTCCCTTTTTAGGATGGTTTTAAAACATTTATAGCTTCAAAATAAACTGTAGTTTTTCTTTATTACCTCCAGGATCTAATATAAAATCTTCTCTCTAGCTTTTAAAGTCCTTTGCAGCCTGGCATCTTATTCCCTTTCCAGTCTTACACTTTACTCCCCTCAAAATGCTCCACGATCCAGCAACATTGGCACCTTTACTATTCTTTGCATGTGACACTTTCTCTCCTGACTTTGTGCCTTTTCATTGGTTGTCCTCCATGTACTGAATGCTCCCTCTCCTCCTATCTGCCTTTCCTTGGAATTTCCTGACAAGACCCCAACTTGGTGGGTATATATCTAGGGGCAGCAGGCAATTAGATTGGATATGTATTATAGGGCCAGCTTTCCTGGTTCCCTTAAGGTCTTTTCTCAAATTCCACTTTCTGCAAGAGGCCTTTGCCAGTCCCTCTCAATGCTAGTGCTTTCCCTCTGAGTTTACCTTGTATATACCTTGTACATATAAAGTTGTTTACATGTTGTCTTCCCCATTAGAATGTGATCTCCTTTAGAACAGTGCCTCTCTTTGTAACCCCAGTGCTTCTCTTTGTAACCCCAGTGCTTAGCACAGTGCCTAGCACATTTTAGGCACTTAATAAATGTATGTTGACTTGATCTGTTAAACAACTTATATATGAAAGGGATCCTACTCTCCTCAATTTCTATATGAAGAAAACGAGACCCTGGGAAGTTAAGTGACTTGTCCAAGGTTACTCGGTTTGCTGATGTTCAAGCTGCAACTAGAATGAAGGTATCCTGACATTTGATCTGTGTTCTTTCTGCTGTGCCAATTCTGCTTCCCCCACACTGCTCACCAAAAAACAGGTGGTTAAGTCACCTTTAGTCATCCATCATGCCTTGAGTTCAGCAGAGTTTTATTTCATAGCAAATATCACTTCTATGCTTCTGGTTCAGCATTTTCAGCCCTTCTTACTAGCCATTTAAGGTCAACAATGGTTCATTAATGACCCTGCTGAACCTGTTCAATAAACTTGGGATGCCCTCAAATGTGAGTTCTGGAAAGAAATACCTAAGTTCAAGGTCTCTTTTCAAAAATCATAGCTCATAAGATCCCATCAATGTTTCTCTTTTACCAGACCAATCCAGAGGACAGAATAATTCAAAGTAAAAGGTTTTTAAATACAACAGAATAGTAAACTAAATAGCAATTTGTCCCAGACAAATGAGGGCACATTGTACTACAGGTTCTCATGTCACTTGTAGGGGAAGGGAACATGTATAGCCTGGAAACTCATGTTACTAGGGCTTCATCCTAATTCCATCCCAGCTGGTGCTTTTTTTTTTTTTAACTACTTTCTGCTTCTCTGCAGAGCAACTGGTGTCATTTTCTAGCTTATTTTCTCAGCTGAAATGCAAACTACCGGTGTCATCTGCTATGCCGCCTTTTGGGCTGCTGCTATTATTTGCTCATTTTCCACTGAATTATGGCTGTTCTGTATTGTCTTTGAGATTCTGTGGTTCTTTGTAATGGAATATTGACAGCTCTTTTAGCTTTTAGCCACTTGGCTAGGTGTTTTTATAAATCAGACTCACAGATGGATCCAGTCAGCATAACAAAAGCACTTAGAACAAGGATATCTTTTTAAACTACTTTTATTCCCTCAGGCCTATCTACGATTTGGGATAAGGTGAGAAATTTCCTTTCAATTCTCTTCATGTTTCTGTTCGCTATCGATGGGCCAAGAAGATTATCCTGAAGCTTTACTCTAAAAATATTGTAGGAGTCGGGGGAATTGGGGACTTTTGATCTTCATGTCTATAGTTATATCCAAATGTCTTCTCTCCTGTTTCTTGGATGTGTTGTGCTTATGCCAAGACCAAATTTCACTGACTTATAAAAAAGAAGATTGAGCCATTACAGTATAATTTGTTTAAAACAGCGGTTCTTAATCACAGGTCTGTGGATTTATCTTTAAACATTTTTGATAACAATATTTCAATACAATTGGTTTCTTTTGTTATTTTGTGTATTTTATATTATGCATTTTAATACATTCTGAGAAAGGGCATATAGGCTTTACCAGATGCCTAAAAGTGTCCATCACACACACACACACACACACACACACACACACACACACACACACACAGGTTGTTTCCCTTGTTTTAGAGCTTAATGTAAGGTTGATGCTATCTTCCAGTTAATTCAATTAAATTTAACAGACCTTTATCAGATGTAACAACAATGTGCTAGGTATTTGGAAAGGAAATGAAATTTAAATAAGGCATGGTCTTTTTTTCATAGTAGAGTATGACGCATACACAGATAACAATAAGACAGAATAGCATGTTGTATTGCAAACCATGGGAGGATGCAAAGAACTGTAAGTCCTGCCCTCACCTTCCAAGCATTGTCCAGGTCTCATTTATTCAGGGCTTATTAAGTCATTTTTCAGTCATGTCTGACTCTTTGTGACTCCGTTTGGGATTTTCTTGGCAAAGATACTGGATTAGTTTACCATTTCCTTCTCTAGATCATTTTATAGATGAAGAAACTGAGGCAAACAGGGTTAAGTGACTTTCCCAGGGTCACACAGCCAGTAAGAGTCTGAGGCTGGATTTGAACTCAGGAATCCTGGCACTTTATCCACTGCCTATCTAGAACTTTGGGAGCTGAAAAATAGAAAAATAGAATTTAGGTTCAGTCCGGGGAATGAAGTCAGACTAGCAGGAAAGAACTGTGACTTCCCAAGGGAAAGATCTAGATGAAGGACCCATTGACTAGAAGGAAAAATTTTTTTTAAAATGTACCTGGAAGAGATAATTTGGTACTTTGAAGATGTGCCAGGCTAATTGAATCATATGAGACTATGCACTTAAAATTACCTTAACTCTGTGTAGTTTAGACACTGAGATATCCTTATATTGTAGTGAAGCTTAGTTACAAGCTTGGATTAGTTCTGGGTGTTTTTTGATGGAGAATAATTAGCAGAGGTGAGGTACCACCAAAGAAGAAAAAGTGAGAAAAAACCTGATTCTCTCTTTTTGAGTTCCCAAAGTGAAGATGTTCCCGATGACAGTGGTAGCAGGAAAGAAAGGGGCATAATGTCTGATTCTAAGGACTCCCCTTGGGATTGCCTGGAAGGAGTCTAACTCAGTGGGCATATATTTTGGGGCAGTATAGGGCCAACTTTCAGAAGGACTTGAAAGCCAGGCAATAAAAATTTGGACTTCATGTTAGAGGTAGTAAGTACCCATTGTGTTTTTGAGCAAGAGGTGATACAAGGGGGAAAAATATTTTAGGAAGTTTATTCTGACAATCCTGTCAAGGAATATTAGAGACCTAGTACCTAGGATTAGAGAGTCGATAGCCCCACTGTACTCTGCCCCGGTCAGACCACATCTATAATACTTCGTTCACTCGTATCCACCACAAATTCAGAAGATCACTGGTAAATTGGAGAGAGTCCAGAGGAGGGCATTAAGGATAATCAAGGGCCTTGGAGAGCATGCCAAATGAAGGTCAGAGGAGGGATGATTAACCTAGCAAGGAGAAGATTTAGAGGCAAGGCCTTGATAATTGTCTTCAAGCATTCGAAGAGCCATCAAATGGAAGAAGAATTAGGTTTGTTCTATTTGGTCTCAGAGAGAAGGATGGATAGAAGCTTTAAGAAGTAAGATTTAGAATTGAAGTAAGGAAAAACTCCCTAACAACATCCCAAAAGTAGAATGGGCCTCCTTGGTCATCTTTCTGACCAGAGGTTTTCAAGGGGTTGGATGACTGCTTGTTGGGGGTCATTGCAAAGGGGATTCTTGTTGAAGAATGAATCAGATTATATGAACTCTGACATCTCTTTCAAACTCAAAGATTTTTCGATCTTTTAATCTTCCCAAATTTCTTTGGGCAGCCATACTTTCTTACTAGTTGTCATTCCTATGACTGGTGTCAGATGCTTTAATAAAGGCTATTCAAGGCAGCAGAGAAAGTTTTCCTGAATATCTATATTTGCCAGGCTGTACAATAATCCCATTGCCTGTTGTTTTACATTGTGACTGAAATCCTCATGGCGGTTCAGATTCTTCCTGGTGGATGTGTGGCACAGCTTCTGCAGAAAGACCCCTTTCTCTTGCAGCACTAAGGGTGGTGAAAACACTAAAATGGGAAGATGCCTGTGCAGATATTTAACTAACCTCTTTTCCTA